GGCCCGACGGGCCTCGCGCGGCGGCGCCTACCAACCGCCGCGGAACGGGGGGGGGGAGAAGAGGGGGAATATAATCAAATCCGGGCCCCGCCGCAGCTTCTACCCAACGCCGCCTTCTCCCTGCCCAGCGTCACTTCACAACTCCGCTGCCGCACGTTCTCTCGCTCAGCCGGCGGTGGGTCCCGCTCCTTCTCGCCCCGGAGCGGCCGCCGCCCCCCCCCCCCCTTTCACGCCTCGCTGTGGTTGAGCCCAAAATGGCGCCCTCCTCCCGTCCCCCGAGGTGGGGTTCGGCCGAACCATTTTTCGGGGAGCGGAAAGCACGAAGCGCCGGGACATTTAACTGCGCGGACGTAGAGCAAAGCCCTCCCGCGATCTCGGCAGCGCGGTGTATTTCCCTGCCCGGCAGCGGGCGGGAGGCGACCGCGCCGCCAAACCTCCCAGCTACCCCCCTACAACCCCTCCACCTTGCGCTCGCCCGCCGGTCGGCGGTGCCCGAGCGGGCGCTACCAAGCTGGTGCGGCGGGGGAGACGCGTGGCGGCGCGGCTGTGCTGGGGCGTGGCGAGTACACGGGCGGGCAGGCGCAACCCCCCCGCGGGCTGCGGGGCCACATGGTACGGCCCGAAAGGAGCCGCCACATCGGCCCCGCTGAAGGGCCCGGGCGGGCGACATGGCGGGACGGGGTCGGAGGCGTCTGGAGGGGTCTCAAGCGACGGGAGCGGTTTGCTAGCCCAGCGAGCCACGTCCAGGCCAGCTGCGGGTCGAAAACGGCAGCCCGCCTCCGGGTGTTGTGATAAGTTTCCACGAGACACGTGTGTTTTTTCAAATAGCGTTTTTCGTGAGGTAAAAAGTGATGCCCGCCGTCCCGCTGTGGCACTCCGCTTGGTGGGGGAGGCCTTGCAGAGGCTGGAGAGGGGGATCTCGGTGCGGTGGTACAGACAAAGAGAACTCGAGTGGTTTTTTGTAGTGTTTTCCGCTATTCTGAAGTGTTACCTCGCATAACATCTTAGTGGGACTTAAACTGGTGAAGGCTTCTCGTGCTGGTGACCGACATGACCAGCTTTCTGGGAGAGGTGACCTCTCTTCACCAATTAAACCATTACCTTCTGTCTCCACACCTGTGGAATATCATTTATTTTCCAGGATGGATGTTACTAGGATATATTCAAAATGAGAAAGGGAACCTGGAATTCGTCTTGGGTACCATCTTGAGGTTTCAGTGGCATTTTTAGAGGAAACAGGTCAGAACAGTTCTTGAGGAATAGTTATCCATGTTCACTTCCCAGGTGAACACTTGCATTTTGTGTAGGGTTTTCTGTCGGTTGTGGTTTTTTTTTAGCCCAGTGCTTTCCATCGCACCATCAAACCGTACAGAATAAGAATTCCAGCATTAAAAAAGTTCACAAGAAGAGCAGAACATATTGTACTCATCACTTTACATTTAGACCCTATCTTATGTTTTGGTATCTTTCATATTTTGATAAAATCTTGAGAGAAGAAATTTAGCAAAAGCAAAGCCCAGTTCTGTGATTTATCAGCTAGTCAGGAGGTGGCATCCTAACGCCACTCAAATGCACTCTTTTGAGTCGCTGTGGGCGATGCTTGTGAATGGAAATGATGACTGGCACTTTGTGCAGTTATATTTTTTTTGTTCCTGGTTGTATCATGGTATCTGACCAGACTCCAGCTTCCTGCTTTGCCGCACCATCAGCACGTTAAAAGTGTACAGAAAATGCTGTCTCCTCTCCTGCCACAACCATGTATTTTTCCAAATGTGAGGGAGGACGTGCTGCAGTTCCAATCCACAGTCCCAGCTGGCTCCGTGAGATGACAGGGCTCTTCCAGGAGTGTGTATGTGGTGTCTCGCACCCACGTTTCACCACTTTCACCTTGTCTGTGTTGTTGGAATATGCAATTTTTGCGTATTACCTTCCTGTTTGCAAGCTGACTCCTACTTTTACAATCACTTTGGTTAAACTCTGTCGGATCCTCCTTTCCTATCTTTCCATGCTCTGCTATTTGCACTTTGCCTTCACAGCAACTTGTGATTTATCTTCTCTTCCTTCCTTCCTTCCCCCTCTCCTTTCTTTTATTGAAATTTCCCTTCGGTCCCTTGCTACTATCTCACTGCTATTCTTTTTGCTTCTAGTCCAGCAACCTGAAGGTGAGTGGAACAACTTTTAAACCCAGAGATTTTGGTGCTGGCAGCTGGAATTTGCCTGTTCCTGTGAGTATTCCCCCTGCGGAATTCATAGAATGGTTTGGGTTGGAAGAAGGGACCAAAATTCATAGAATGGTTCGGGTTGGAAGAAGGGACCTTAAAGATCAAGTCCTTCCAACCCCCTGGGCAGGGACACCTCCCACTGGACCAGGTTGCCCAAATCCCCAATCAATGAGAAATTTGGGGGAAGAAATCCAGCAGGAATGGCCTCTTGAAAGACAACTGTCCAATATCTGATGAATTTGACTGAGTGCTCTGAGAATGGTGGAGCTGGAAGCACCGTTTCCTGCGCTGAATTCTGCACGAGTAAGCAGGCTCTTGCAGTCAGTATGAAATTTTATCTAATGGCGATAGGACGTGCAGAGAACAACACGTCAAAAGGCCAGGGCCTCAGGTAGTCACGTCCTCCTGCGTTACATTTGTTACCTGGGACCTGCTGACACGTGCCCTTTCTTTATTTCTTTCTCTAGTGATTGTAGTTTCTTTATCCTGTAGGTTTTCCGGAAGCTTTTGCTGCGTTTACAGCCAATATGGAAGCGTTGAATAACTTAACACCAAGTGCAATCTTTCTGGCTCTGTTCAAAAATTATTTCTGCAATCGAGTTATTTTTCACAGTGTTTTTCTTCGAGACGTCAATTGAGAACGTCTTATTTATACCAAATAAATAGTTATGCTATTAGCTTAAGTACAGACCAATCAAAAATCTATGGCTAAATGAGAACATGTTGATTCCTCCATTCATTTTCTCAAAAAAAAAAAAAGAAAAATGCTATATAGGCGAAAAAATCGTGTAGCGCTTAGTTTTCAGAAGTGCTGAGCGTGCAAAACTCTCCCCTCGGCTGCTGCACAAACACGATTTGAAGGGCCTCTCGGCTTAAATAATGCCATGCTTTTTTAATTTTATCCCCAGCTTTAGGCTGCACCCACGCTTGTGGGGATCTCAGCTGAAATAGCACCGAGGGGGGAGGAAGAGGGGCATCACTGGAGTCATTCCTGTCTTTGTAGCAGCACGAGAAGTCTCACAGGGGGGTGTTATGTCTAATGACTTACACCTGAAATAATTCTCATGTCAGGGTTTTATGGTTTGGTTCTCTGTGCTTGGAGTGGAGATTATTTATCTTCCCGAGATTAGTAGTAATAAATTAGTGAATTCGTCCAATACATTGGATATTAAAAACAAACTGCATTATTATAGCTTGGTAGCACCTTAATCTGGAGGTCCAGAACCTGTGGTTATTTTTGTGTTTTGCTGGTTTGATGGTGTTTTCAGGAAAACCACTGTAAAAAAAACATAAACCTTGTTTTTCACCACTGTCAGCTGTTATCATCCCTGACTGATAAAGTGCAAAAAGTGGGAAGAGACATTAAAATCACTAATAAAATGTGAGGCATATGTGAAATTCTTATTTTTATGCAGTTTTAGAAAGAGCTTTTGCGTTCCACATGCTCTTATTTCTGTGCTTTCCTCAGCAGGGTTCATTTCTACCACATTTCCCTTCGTTAGCGCGTTCCTTCTGGTGCGTGGCACAAAATGCCATGTCGTTTCCTTTGCCAAAACACTAAATATCTACTTTCACCCACCATCAAGAATATCCCATAAAAATCCAAGCACATCAAATACATTGGGGATAGGATGTATCGACGGTCTAAGTGGCAGCGGAAATTAAATGCTGTGGGAAAAGGTGAGCAAATGGAAGAAAATGCACCAAATATACCAAAACTGGAGTTACCTCACCCGACGTGAAAGAGTGAGTTGCCAGGTGGCTGGAAGGGTTGTTTTATGGCCAACAATTTTATCTGCTTTTCGTGGCGCAGAACAAAATCCTCCTGAATTTCACATTCCCGACAGCCATCAGTTTTCTGGCAATAATTAATATTATTTTTAATATGAATGTGATGTGGGGATAAAGCCCATATTAAGCCGGCGAGCCCATCTCTTCTTCTATCTATGCTTTAAGGAGTTTGGAAGCTTTATTTTTACTCTCCAAGAGGTTGAGGGGCGCTCCCCCCTCAGCAGCGGGGGGGGCTCGGAGAGGCGGCAGAGCCCCCCCCCTCCGGGGTCAGCCCCTTCCCCTCCCGGGGGACGGTAACCGCGATCGGTGGGCTTGTGGCGTGTCCCGGAGCTCGCCCACAAGCCGAGTCCCCCACCGGTCCGTCCCCTCACCGCGGCCCCGGGGAGGCGGCCTCTCGCCTCCCGCTCCGCCCGGCGCTGCGGAGGAAGGGGAGGGCGGCGGCGGGGCCGCGGCCTCACATGACTGCTGCCGTGATGGACGGCGAGCCGCCCGCGGGCACCGGCACAGGTACGGGGCGGCGGGCACCCCGCGGGGCAGCGCTCGGTTCGGCCGGTGTCCCCCCTTCCCTCCCGCCGGGCGGCCCCGGGGAGGGTGACGGGCTCCTCAGGGAGGGAAAGGGAGGCTCGGGGCCGCTCCCCCCGCCAAAACCTGAGGTAAAAAGGCGCTGCCTTCGCCTTCTCTCCCCCCCGCCCCGGGCGCCGGGCCCGCGGGGGGGGGGGGTCCCACGGCCGGGCCTCGTCGGCGGTGCCCGTGTCGCGGTGGAGAGGGGTTCCCCCTTCTCCTCCTGCCCCGTGGCGGTGAGGAAGGGAGGGGGGGGTGTTGGCGGGTCCCCCCGGGGCTGGTGGGGTTCGTCCCCCTCCCGGTCCCGGGCAGCCTCCGTCGGCCGGTGCCGCCCCGGTGTTCCCGGCGGGGAACACAACTTTTTCTGCGGGGGGTGGGGGGAGTCGCGCTGAAATGAGTTTATTTCTCCCCCTCCGCCCGCTCCAACGGACCCAGCGGGGCGTTTAAAGCGGTTTGTGGAGCGGTTCGGCGGGGCCGGTACCGGCGGAGGCCGCGTCTCCTCCCGCCCCCAGCCCCGGGCAGCGGCTCCGGAGGCGGCCGCGGCGGCGGGAGCTTCGCAGCCCCGGTCGGTCCGAGGTTGCGGGGAAAGTTGCGGCCAAACGGTGCCAGCGCTGGTTGTGAAACGAGAAATGGAGGGAGCGCCTGGGAGAAGGCAGAAAATAACGCGCTGGGCTCTAAGGGGAGACTTTTAGAGGGAAACGGGATAATACAGTTCGGTAAAGTTCCCTTAAAGTGGCTGAAGTTTCATATTGGCAATCACTGCTCTGTGCAGAGTGGGTTTTTTTAATTTGAAACAAAAAAACTAGTAGAGGTTACAAGTGGGTGGGCTTTATGCAGGGAAAAAATGGTTTGGGTGGAATATAGCTCCAGCGTGAGTGTGCTTTTGATAGGCCTGGGACGCTCCTGATGCAGATAATGCTTATAAATAAATTATTTTGGAATATTTCTGTCCAGGACTGATGTAAGATATTGGGATATTGAACAGCAGCCTTTGCGGGGGAAAAAAAAATGTCCTACTGTACCAAAGAGAGAGCTTGCTCAGGTATGTCTGTTACGAGTTTACCATCTGCTTCAGGAGCCTTATGGAGATAAAACAGTTGTCTCCAACTATTCGTGATCTGATGAATCTCCACTTTGGTGATGGTGCTTCTGTAACTGTCTGGTCTATTCAGCCTTGTTTAGAAATCTTGGCTTTCTTTCACAAAGCCTATATTGTGGACTCTGAGAGAAGGTATCTAATGATCTTAGCAAAAGAGAAATAATGCTGTGAAAGCAGGAATGTGTTTATTTCTAGCATCGTGATGCGGGTTCGGTGATCTTGGAAGGTTCCCACCCAGACGTGACTGTTTTTTGGGGCTCAGCATTTTGTCAGTGAATATTTTAGGAGGATCTAAATCTCCCAAGAGAGGAGGAGAGTCCTGACAGGGACCATTGATGGCCACCTATGGCAGCACATGCAAACGCTGTCTGGTTTTTATTTTGTAGGGTTAAAATTTAACAGATTGGAGAGAGAAACAGAGATTTAACAGAATCAAGAGACAAAAGAGAAAAGGATAATGCCCAATATATTAAAGTCAGTTTAGCAAAGTTGCTTATATGGACTTTTTTTTTTCCTTTCTTTTTTTTTTTTTTTTTTTCTCTTGCTCCTGTTTGAGGCTGTTTTGCAATGATTGCAGGGAGCTCACCCAGGTGTGTTGGCTGGGGAGGGAGGGGGTTGTCTCTCCTTTCCTGCTAGAGGTGAATCGTTAACCGTGTGTGCAGCCCGAAGGAGGGTTTGGTGGGGAGGGCTCTACCCGTTGCAGTCAGTAGAATTTCAACATCAACATCCCCCACAGTCTTCAAGTTTTTGTGGGTTGATGGAGACAAACGTGTCAGTTCCAGGGAGGTGGAACTGGTGCAAAAGGAAGGGAGCTTCGATGATTGCCTTCAAAGAGGATTTGAGTTGGGAATGAGCTTGTTCTAACTGTAAAATGTGTGAAAAGACCATTGGGAGACTGTAGTGTGTGGGGTTGCACGGTGTTTTTTGATGTTAAAATACTAAGATCAAGTCTTGCCCCAGTGTAATTACGAGGATAAAAAACATGAGAAAGATGAGAAGTAAAACAAAATGATAAACAAGTTCTTCTGATTAGGTTTTCTTGATCTGTGTAAGGAAGGATGATTGTGGAAACAGGGTGGTTTTATAGCTAAACTACAATGACCTTGTAAATAGAACAGTTGTATGTGTTATAGCTTGTTGAGTTACCTTTTTGGGTCTGAATTTTTACATTTTCAACCTTTTTTATTTTTTTTGAGATGGGTGTGAAAAAATTATAGTTCAGCAATCTTCTATTGGGAGCTGGGAAACTGCCCTAGTGAGGGCTTGACTTTTTGTCTCTAGTATTTGGGGACGTTCCTCGATGGACTTTTTTTCTTCTAATCCTGTTATATCTTCAATGTATGTAGCTCCATCTCACTCTTATTGGCCCTGGCCCAGGTTGCCCAGAGAAGCTGTGGCTGCCCCATCCCTGGAGGGGTTCAAGGCCAGGCTGGATGGGGCTTGGAGCAACCTGGGCTGGTGGGAGGTGTCCCTGCCCAGGGCAGGGGGTTGGAACTCAATGATTTTTAGGGTCCCTTCCAACCCAACCCATTCTATGATTCTGTTGTGTTTACTGTAGTTTGGGACTGTGGCTCCGTGGCTGACTTGCCAATGGAATGTATTCCTTGTATTCCCAGATGTGGGAAATTACTTAATCACTTGAGGATCCAACAACATAGTCAAAAGAACAGGGTATGAGGCTTAAACTTAGTTTTTTGTCCTGTCAGACAGTAAATTGGAAGGAGATAACTTGATCTTGAGGTTTTTTCCTGCTGTATTGTGTGATGGCAACGTTTCGAGAAGCAGTTAGAGGCCGACAGCTGTAGGGGAATGCAGAAATGCTCGTGCTTTTTTATTTTTAAATACACCTTAGATAACCTCACCCGACTATTTTTGAGTCGTGCCGTTACTTCTCTGCTTCATCTTGAAAAGCACCAAGTGCTGAGGAGCAATCTGAAACTTGGTTGGAAAAAAAATCCCCAACCAACCAACCATGAAAAAATGCTGAAAACCATAACTGCCCCAAACACCTCAAAAAGAAAGGAAAAAAACCCAAACAAGCCCCAACCAAAAAACCCAGCCCCAAGCCCACTGTATCCAGCACAGGGTGCATATTTGACATCTGCATTGAGAAAGTTTTGTTTTGTTTTGTTTTGTTTTTTAGGCATATTTGACAACTGCATTGAGAAAGATTGTTTTGTTTTGTTTTGTTTTTTAAGAAGAAGACCAAAATGTTAGAGCTTGTTTTCCAACATCTAATTTTATGGTAGTACGTGTGTTATTTTGTCTTGTCTGGTTTTGGCAGTGGATGGCTTGTGTTTACAAGGTAATTGTTGGGAGGGAGAAGGACACTATCGCACCATCTCTTAATTAGAGTAAAGCTAAATATGGTTGCTTTTCTTGTACCTAATAAGAAGTAGGGACATCTCTTCCACGCTGAACACACGCCTGTGTATCACTTAGCTCTGTTAGATAAAATAGGCTGTTTCTTTTGTGTTGCTCCTTTCGAAATAAGAATTGCATGGTTTTAAATTCCTTAAAAAACCCAAGCGAGTAGCATACAGTTGTCTAAAAATATGTAAAGCCTTTAATAGGAAGAAAGTTTTGTTTGCCTTTTTTTTTTTTTTCTGTGGGACTTCTGTTTTTCTTTTCTTATTTTTAGGGGATTTCAAATTATGCAAGAACCAAAACCAAAAAAGAAGACAAGGAAGGGAATGTATTTGAAGTTGTAGTTGAAATCTGCACCAGCTCTCCCAGAGGTTGATGTGGCTGCTGAATTCTGGAATTATGGAGGAATGTGTTTGACACAATAAGGGGGAAAGGCATTTCCATAATTCCTGAGGCTTTTCATGAGAGGGCAGAAAGGAAAGGGAAATGCTGATGAATGATATTTACGTGGCTGCTTTAGTATTCCTGGCCCAGGAGTTTGTAGTGGAGCCCTCATTTTTTTTTTTTTTTGTCAGGGAGAAATCTGAGGTATCTGGGCACAAAAATACTCAGTTCTTGTACTCCCTGTGTGTGCCATGAGTTGGATCCTCTCTGCTCTGTGACGCTGTGGCGATGGAGAAGAAATCTTAGCTATTTTTCCTCAAGGATTTCCTTCCTTGCAGATTCTTTTCTCCTTCTAGAAAATCTGCTTCTAACGTGACAAGTCATTCTATGGCACCTTCTACTTAAGTGTGTCTAATAAATTTAGCTGATTAACACACCCTGATATAATGAAGAGTTGTTAGTAGCAGCCATCTGTAAAATGGAGATAAACCCTCCAAATTTGGTCGACGGAACATAAATAGGGAGGGGAGATCCGTGCTGTGATTTCCCACCTATGCTTCCAGCCCTGGCGTTGCCCTTCTCTTTTGTATGTGCTTGTTCACATGTAAAACCTCTGTGTAGCTAAATCAGACGCTTGAAATTGTACTTTGGGTGTTGTAAATGTGTGATTTTAGAGGTTTAGGTGGAGGAAAGCAGTAGCTGTGGAGGGCAGGCTGCTGCTGTCTCCTGTGAGTGGGAGCCATGACCCCAGGGTGCTGACTGAAGCCTGAAGGATGTGGCAGAAAGCAGTGAAGTTTTCTATTGCAGTTGTTTTCTGGGTGAGTTTCTCAGCTCCTTTCAGTACAAAAGCTGCCTCACTTGATACTGAAAAAAAAAAGTGGGTTTGTAGTTGTTTTCCTTTATAACCAAACAAAACTTAGGCTGTGCTTTGAATGCTTCTTGAAAATTCTGTGTCGCCTTGTCCGCTTGCTTGCCTATATCTGTATATATGTATTCTTTTTAATTTTTATATCAAATTGTTTTCAGTTCTACCAAGCCACTTCCTGCTATCTTATTGACAACAGATTGAGGAACTCTGCTGTAACAAAAGGCTAGCTCGCACGTAAAAAGCTGATTTTATTTTGTCAGCTTCCCTGTGTTCCAGGGGACTGTTCCATACCTCACTTCTGCATTCGCTTCCTGCCCTCTGTCTATAAACTTTACTAGATAATGATCTGCTGAAACCAGAGGGAATGTTTTCAAAATTAGCTGTTCTCCAGCGGAGAGTGCGTGATGGGAAGCGTTAAGTGTGCTGTTACAATGCATGTAAATCCTTTTAGTGGTGGAACAGGGGAGCTCATACCAATGAGTTCCCACTATTATCCACCCTTCCTGGCCAGGGCTCCCGAGGCTGTTCCTGAACTGACTCTTTAGTAGAGGGGGATGAAAAATGGGCTGAAGAACAGCTTTGGTATATACTGCTCTGCAGGGTTAGTGGTAATGCCATCGTGTTTTCTAGAGCAGGTTAACAGCTCTTCCAAAGTCATCTCATTGTGTTCCTAGACCAGTCTCTGAGGCGGTAAATTCACTCTCTTGTTGATATGGAACACGCTGAGATTATTAATTAAACAGTAATTATTTGAACTTGTTCATATGGTTGTCTGATTTGTATGATTTCACACATTTAGACAAGGTTGAGATCTGAAGACGCTACAAGATGTTTCAGGAAGAGCCAAACGTGTGAACTGCTGATAAAGAGGAGGTATTTCCTGTAGGTGAATTTTAGAAAGCAAATTTAGAGAATAAGTTGGTGAAAATTAGCAAAGTATTACAAATGAGAAGAGCAACGTGACTCAATTGTTGAAGGAATGCTGAGCCTTGTCTGGATCTCTCTGTGGGACCTAAATCTGTCGTTTTAGGAGATAAGGTGGGTTCAGGTCACTGTAATGAATCTCAGTCCTTCTCAACATCCGTTTGGCTGCAGGTTCCAGGTCTTGCAGATGAAATACTGAAGGATTCATGGCTCATCCTATAAACCTTTTCTCCTGATGCCTACCTTTTGCCACGGGGAGTTTCAGTAGTTTGCAGCAGGGCTGAGCCCCAGTTGAGGGAACGGTTTGTGCCATGAAAGCCCTTCTTTGTGGGTTGGCCAGCAGGAAGATGGAGAGCCGGGTGAGTGAATGAACAGGCAGGAGGAGGGCTGTGTTAGCGTGGGTTGGCACGGCTCTGGGGGCAGCCGGGGGGTTGCCTTTGGCTCATCCCTCTCTGGGCCCCGTGCCGGCCTCTGGAAGGTGAGCCAGAGGTTTAGGCAACAGGGAGCACCGTGGAGTTGCGTGTGAGTGTGTGTGTGTGTGTGTGTGCACACGTTGCAGGAGTAACAACATCTCCTGTGTCACGTTGCGTTTCACTGACGCGCCTTGAGCAATTATAACCAAGAATTACAAGGGTGTGCACCCAGAGAACCGCTGCTCGGAGAGAGAGAGAGGCTCTTGTGCTTCCCAGAATGAATTTTGTCTGTGTTTTTGACTCTTCCTTTTGATAGTGTGGTTTATGACACCTTGCTGTCCTGTGAAAGGTCAGGTGGGCAAGGATTTTTTTATGCTAGAAAACCTTTTGCCTCGCTATCCATATTCTGAATTTTCTTTCCTCCTTTCCTTCCTCGTTCAGCATCTATCTGAAAAGTAGCTGTACAGAGACGTTATCCCTTTATCCAGCAGTATCCTATGTCAACACTGAATTAGCTGGCATTATCTTACCACAGATTTCTGGCAGGTAACTGGAAGTGTTTAGAAGCTGCTCCGTAGGTGGGGTTAGTAGGTGACACATTAGTCTGGTAAAGCAGAGGTGTTAGGACTTGCTTCTCTGAGTCACGGTAGCAGGAATCTGAAGCCTGATGAGACATGTGGGATAAGGTCACTTGTCCTGGATTTGGTTTGATTTCCTTAAGCTGTTTTATGGAGCAGAGAACGAAGTGTCTTGTTTTGAAGCTGTGTGTCTGGGCAATCGGAGATTACCTGTTTTTCCCATTTATCAGGGCCTAGAGCACGTGAAGGAACAGGTGGGAAGTCCTTATCAGGAGGAGGTCAAAGCTTTCAAGACAAGGATACGAGTTCTTATCTTCCCTGGCTTAATTTCTTACACAGTTAGCAACTTTTAGAACTATGCATCAAAGCTTACTGAAATGGGTCTTGCTTCTAGAGTGTCTTTTCACGTTCTCAGAATTTTAGATGTGTTTTAATAAGGGGTGTAAGTTCTGCACGATGGCAAGGAGAGGATGTTTAATACTGCCTAGCTTTTTTAGGCAAATCTTCATGGTGGATTCAACTTGCTTTGTGAAAGAGCTTGTTTGCACTGTCCCTCTTCAACAGCCAGACACAGAGAGGAAGGAACCCATCTGTTCCAGACTGAAGAACAGAACTCAGGTAGGGGTTAAATAGATTCCAGGGCTATATTCACATTTTTCACCTGGTTTCTTACATGTGAAATGGGTAGAAAAGAAAAGAACTGCTTTGAAAAACAATGTAAGCTTAGTTTACAGTGACATACTGTGTGTAGTTACGAAGTCAAGTTGAGATAATGGGCTGCACTCAGTCATTTGATCTCTGAATCATCATCTCTGCCCCTTCTTTGATGAAGTTTGTCCTCCGGGGCCGTATTCTTAAGAGCCATCTCTTTTCACTTTTGCATCTGGCTGGGAATCGGTCAGAATCTCTCTGTCCAGAGCTGTCCAGCTGTAAAAAGCTGTTTGTTTTTGAGCTACAAGCAGTGGAATAGGCGTATTTGAAAGATTTTGCCAGAGCTTGCTATGGCAGAGGAACTGTCGGGTTGGTAGCCTTTATTAGAAACCTTTTTCCCCTGCTCTTGAACTTAAGCACATGGACATAGTTACTGTAATTCGTGCCCACTCAAGCGTACTGTCACAGAGTTTAAAATTATGTCAAATAAAGTGTCTCCTTCCTTTGTAATGACATGTGAAATGAATGTATTCCATTTCTGCAGTGCAGTGAAATAACACATTTTCTTTCCTTCCATGAGTTGTTCTAGGCAGGATCCAAAAGCGCTGAGCAAGGCTTTCGTTCGTTTTGGCAGATCCTGCTGTGGTGGGAGCTGGACAGACAGGAAATGCAGGCCTCCGAGCTGATTCACAGGACAAATTTGGCCTGTGATGCTTCTTTTGCTCAGTAGAGATGTCTTTCTGCCTGGGTGTAATTGGTGGTGCTCCTGGGTGTTGTGAAGAGGGAGGTACCAGTGTCTTGGACGCGTGCGAAGCAGCATCACCTCCCCGGGGAGTGGCTGGATGGTTGCTCTGGTTGTGTTGCACCACTGTAGGAGCTCTGAGCAAGGGAACACAATATTGTCAGGCAACGTCTCTCACTTTTATCTTATCAGGTCTATTGGACTTTTTTTTTTTTTTCTTCCCTTTTTGTCTTTTAGATTTGGCAAAGCCTCCAGTAAATGAATCAAGGGAAGCGGAACAGTTTCTAATGCAGGCGCCCCAGGGAAATCCACTGCTGCTTTCCCACACCCTCCAAGAGCTGTTGAGCAAGGACAGTGTGCAGGTGGAGCTTATACCTGAGAAGAAGGGCCTTTTTCTGAAACATGTGGAATACGAGGTTTCCAGCAAGGTAATGGTGGAGAAATACTGGTCTTTGTGAGAATCTATCTTCTTAAGAACGTCTGCGCAGTTGCTGTTGGCAAAGTCTTGCCTAATTTGATGGATGTGTTGGGTGATGCTGGTTTTGAGGGGGCTGGTTGTGTGGGCTTATTTCACCTGGGTTTCTACAGTACAGAGCATCTTCTGAGTGAGGTCTGATGGATGGTCTGCTTGTCTACTTGCTTGAAACCCAAGCTCTGTACAAAAGCTGATGTATAATGTTGGAAACTGAATGTTTTCCTAACAAATTGTTGTAGGCAACTGGATATTGCAAACTATTTCCAGCTAGTGGAGAAATCCCATTAGGAGTGCTAAGCTGAATGCTTTATAAACAGAAAAGGTACCACAAATCCTTCTGCCGAGTCAAGGCCACTTCCAGTTTACTTGCCCCAGTCCTGACCTGTAGGTTCCGCTCTTGGTGTAAGAGAAGATTGAAGATGATGTATCTCTTCCTACTTACAGAGCAAGATAAATAGCTCTCCAGTAGCTTCTGTTTGTTTTTCCAAGAAGGAAATCTGTCCTCTTCAGGTAGACCATGGGCCATTTACATCTCCCACCAAAACATCAGTTACTGAGTAGTGCTCAGACTGTTGCAGTCCCTGTTGTACATACTCAGAGACACATTTGTGTCACTTGTCTGTAGTGACGTTTGGGGCTTTAGGTGTTTCAGATTCTGCCTCCTGTGTGTCTGTTCTAGGTGTTACCTAACTCCTTTTGGAATGGAAAAATGGTTTCTTTGGCCTCTTCTCCATATTGATCAAACAAATGCAGAGTGAAGGACTAAGGTTTTAAAGGAACTTTCAATCTTTGTATATAGATCTAACATCAGTGAGAGGTCTTTCTTTCTCTTGTGAGCTTCACTTAAAACATCAGTCATTTGGACTAATACCTAACATGATCTAAGACTGTTTTGCCACCTCTAGGTTTGAAAGTGATTTAGAGAAAGTTCCCAAGAGCTAGAACTCAGGGACTTGCAGTTCTTCAAGAAAAGAGCTCTCTAGAGCACTTTTAAGTGTTGGTGCTATTTCTAAATGTGTGGATGGGCAAAGCTCTGTACATTTTACACTGGCTATACTCACCTGCTACGTGACACTCTTATTTTCATGGTGGTCGACTTTTATCCATCTGTCAGATGAAGAAAGATGGACAGCTTGCACTTGTTACAGCTTGTTTTGGAGGACAGCAGCAAACAGAGGCAGATTGTGTAGGAAGCGTGTAGATGATCTCAGAAATTCCCGTGTAGGCTAAAATATGAACAAAGCAAAAGCACCATCTGCAACCCCAATGACAGAAGAACCATGTGCTGTGTGATACTGTACGAAGGACCATCACAGAGAGTCCGTGCAGCCAGCAAACTCCCAGCTTAACACTGAGGCAAAAGAGTTACCTTTTCATCATACGAGAGTGTTGTGATGGATAAGAGCATTCCTTTAATTCTGTTCTGTGCCGCTTTCTTTTTCTTCAAACCTATTTTTGTTTAATTTTTCATCTTTCCTGAAAAACGCCGGGATTTTGTGATTTAATGCTTTGCTGCGTTAACACCGGATTGAAACTCTTCCTGTTTCAAGAAGACTCCTGGAACTTTTTTAGCTTGACAAGTAAGGACCCTGGCTGGATGGCCTGTAGATCGCTGTGCAGGTCTCCCAAGTACTTTCTGATGTCTTGCATGAAAAAGATGGGCACTGATCTTGAACAAACAACTAAAAAAAACCCCCAAATCAACCTTTATTCTCTCCCTAGTCCCAAAAAGCTTACGAGTATGGAGGAGGGACTGTTGAGGGTAAACCACACTGAATCTATTTGTTCAGAATAGTGAGCAAACCCCCCCTAATTATTTGTGGGGTATCACTTTGCAGTGGCAAGAAGACACATGCACTTGTCTGTAGTGACGTTTGGGGCTTTAGGTGTTTCAGATTCTGCCTCCTGTGTGTCTGTTCTAGGTGCTACCTAACTCCTTTTGGAATGGAAATATGGTTTCTTTGGCCTCTTTTCCATATTGATCAAACAAATGCAGAGTGAAGGACTAAGGTTTTAAAGGAACTTTCAATCTTTGTATATAGATCTAACATCAGTGAGAGGTCTTTCTTTCTCTTGTGAGCTTCACTTAAAACATCACAAGAACCACTTGAAGGAATATTTATTCTGGTTGTCAACCCAAAAGATCTATTCTAGGGAGCTGACAGATTATAGATAATCATTCATTGGTTTTGTTGCAGTGCTTTACAAGACTTACAAGTGCAGAAAAATTACCGGACTAAGTGCTTTCTCTTTCTGAGCAGCTGTAATATGTGGTGTGTTAATTGACATTTAACTTTTCTTCCCAGTCATTTGGACTAATACCTAACATGATCTAAGACTGTTTTGCCACCTCTAGGTTTGAAAGTGATTTAGAGAAAGTTCCCAAGAGCTAGAACTCAGGGACTTGCAGTTCTTCAAGAAAAGAGCTCTCTAGAGCACTTTTAAGTGTTGGTGCTATTTCTAAATGTTCTCTCTAATCTGGAAGAGCAGAGAGTTTGAGGGAGCAATGTTATGGAACCATAGCAGGTTATAGGGATGTTTGTAATTTTTTGGGGAACCTCTTCCTCTCCATTTTGTAGTCTCTTTCATCTTGTGTATGAATGAAATCTGACTTACCTTTTAAACTGAAAGTCTTATTCTCCAAAGGACTGTAGTTAGAAGAAGGCCATCTCTATTCATAATGGAAAAGTGGCTACCTTTGGAGTGTTTTCTCCCTCCTTCCCAGCACAGGGCCTCTGAAGATAAGAAATAAGGAGCTTCTGCAGTCTCTGGGTGTGATTTCTTTCTTTTTTTTCCTTTGCTTTTTAGTGCAATGGATAGAAAAAAAAATAAAATTATTGTCCAGCCTGTTTATTGATTTGTCTTTTTCCTCCCTTCCTCTGTTGCAGAGATTCAAGTGCTCAGTCTACAGACGATACAATGACTTTGTGGTGTTCCACGAGATGCTGCTTCAGAAGTTCCCCTATCGCATGGTGCCAGCCCTTCCACCAAAGAGGATGCTGGGAGGTAAATCTGTGTCTGTCTCTGACTGGAGGGATCACGGGGCAAGTGTGATTGAAATGATAATGTTGAAACCAAACGTTTATAAAAACTGAAAGTCTCTGCTGAGGCTGTAACACACAATTTGGAGGTGTGATTTATTGCCATCCTAGAAATACTCTATACATAATATGTTAATGTAAAATTCCAGGATGTGGTTTAGGTTTTTTGGGTTTTTTTTTTTTTTTTTTATGTACAAAAAGGTGTTTTTCTGGCAACTCCCTAAAGTAGCTGTTGCCCTTTTTTTTTCTTTTTTCTTTTTTTACTAAAAACTAAGCTGGAATCAATGTCAGTTCATTCAAGTCCATTTTGGCTGTTAGAATAGAACCCAAAGAAGTATCCCAAGCCTAAAAGCATATTAAAGCTCCTTCAGGTACATTTTTCACTCATCTGAAATATTGGCACTGGCTTAAAACTTTTATTATTTCAAACGTTGCATAACCGTCGAAAATCCTGTATTGTTTTTTGCTTTATCTGTGAGAGAACAAGCTTTTCACTGTCTTCTCTCCTGCCTGTGCTGCTAAGCTTAATGTGTTTCAATAAATAATAGATTTTGGTGTTTGGAAGTTCATGTATTGCTGCAGTAAAGAGGAGCTGGTGAACAGTGAGCAGAGCGGGGTCTGGAGTGAACTGGAACAAAATCCTAGTGCTGAAAAAGCTTCACTGGTTCATAAGTTCTTATGATGGAATGTAAATGGTGAAGACCTTTCTTTGGAGGTTGCGAAAACCCGTCTGCTGGATTTGCCCTGATTCAGTGTTCTCAGCCAGAATTTCCAGATTTTCCACTTCATGCAACACCTATAAGCAAAGTGACCTTCTCTGATTAACCTCGGCGGAGAGAGGATTGAGAGAAGCTACAAATATATATAATTTGTCAGTCACTGTTATTTCCTTGCATTGCTGGTGTGTTGATATTCCTGTGCATTCAACGATGGCATTTTCTTCCCACAGATATCATATATTTAAGGAAAAATTGATAGTATTAGTTCCCAAAGTGTGCCAGACTGTGTTAAGGCAGGGGGTGATGATTGCTTTTAGTCCAGTGACTCTCGTGTGGAAAAGCTGTGTAAGTGGTCTCAACAGAAGCTACAAACAGGAAAAAGGAAATGGAATGGGTAGTTCTTGTTTCTGAGTAGTTAATGAGCTGGAGAAGGAATTGCAGGACACGGGATTTGATGGATTGCTGTAGATGTGTGACTCTCGCAACCTCCTTAGTCCCAGAGGTGGATGGGCAAAGCTCTGTACATTTTACACTGGCTATACTCACCTGCTACGTGACACTCTTATTTTCATGGTGGTCGACTTTTATCCATCTGTCAGATGAAGAAAGATGGACAGCTTGCACTTGTTACAGCTTGTTTTGGAGGACAGCAGCAAACAGAGGCAGATTGTGTAGGAAACATGAAGATCATTTCAGAAATTCCCGTGTAGGCTAAAATATGAACAAAGCAAAAGCACCATCTGCAACCCCAATGACAGAAGAACCATGTGCTGTGTGATACTGTACAAAGGACCATCACAGAGAGTCCATGCAGCCAGCAAACTCCCAGCTTAACACTGAGGCAAAAGAGTTACCTTTTCATGATACGAGAGCGTTGTGATGGATAAGAGCATTCCTTTAATTCTGTTCTGCACCACTTTCTTTTTCTTCAAACCTATTTTCGTTTAATTTTTCATCTTTCCTGAAAAACGCCGGGATTTTGTGATTTAATGCTTTGCTGCATTAACACCGGATTGAAACTCTTCCTGTTTCAAGAAGACTCCTGGAGCTTTTTTAGCTTGACAAGTAAGGACCCTGGCTGGATGGCCTGTAGATCGCTGTGCAGGTCTCCCAAAGTACTTTCTGATGTCTTGCATGAAAAAGATGGGCACTGATCTTGAACAAACAACTGAAAAAAAACCCCAAAATCAACCTTTATTCTCTCCCTAGCCTCAAAAAGCTTAAAAGTATGGAGGAGGGACTGTTGAGGGTACATCACACTGAATCTATTTGTTCAGAATAGTGAGCAAACCCCCCATAATTATTTGTGAGGTATCACTTTGCAGTGGCAAGAAGCAACGTGTTGTGTGTTTCCCAGGAGTCCCAACCAGAGTGAGATCCCTCTGGGGACCAGAGGAAGAAAAGTCTTTGTACACCCACAAAGTGTGTCAGTGGAGGCTTCGGGCCTCAGACTCGGTTGTTTATCCTGATTACACCCAGGAAAATAAACATACAGAGAGATATGATAGATTTCAATAAGATATAAAGAACCACTTGAAGGAATATTTATTCTGCTGGTCAACCCAAAAGATCTGTTTTAGGGAGCTGACAGATTATAGATAATCGTTCACTGGTTTTGTTGCAGTGCTTTACAAGACTCACAAGTACAGAGAAATTACCGGACTAAGTGCTTTCTCTTTTCTCTTTCTGAGCAGCTGTAATATGCGGTGTGTTAATTGACATTTAACTTTTCTTCCCGTAGCTGATCGAGAATTCATAGAATCGAGGAGGAGAGCGCTGAAGCGTTTTATAAACCTGGTGGCTCGACATCCCCCTTTCTCAGAAGATGTGCTCTTGAAACTCTTTCTCTCGTTCAGCGGCTCCGTGAGTACCTGTCAGCAATAATCTCAAGTTTGTGTGTCTTCCTGTAACTGCTTTGCTGGGCACAGAGTCCCGAATTGCTCTTGACCTACACATTGTTGCTCCCCCGTGATGAGGAGCATTTTCTCTCAATATGTATTTCCACAGCTGGAAAGTGGAAGGTAATTGCACTCAATGCCAGGAGTGTCAGTATTTTGAAAATGGTAACTGTTCTTAGGGGAATACATATTATACTTGTCCTTAAATCAAAGCTGACCTGGGTGAAGCTCTCTCTAAGTTGTGCCTTTACTATTGCAGTGTATCTGAGAGCTCTGTGAGGTCCCTGGCGTTACTTCTGTCATGCTTATTTGGTTCTGTATCTTCTCCAGGATGTACAGAATAAGCTAAGAGAGTTGGTCCAGGGAGTAGGAGATGAATTCATGACCTGCAGATTAGCTACCCAGGCCAAGGTATGTATAGGAATTTCTTGCAACTTATTATTCTGCTTTAAATGGCTCTCTCCTCCAGGTGGGTCAGTTACGGCGTTTGTTGAGCGATGGAGACCTTAGGCAGAAAAAAGTTGTTTCCAAGTTTGAAGGACTTTCAAACTTGTGATTTTATTGAAAAGATCAAATAAATATTTGACTCTTGAGGCCTTGGTATTTCGAGCTAAATGCTGGTTCATGAATATGATAAAGACTAAACAATGAATCCTGCTCAGAACATGTTTCTGGGTAATTACTTCTACTTGCATAACAAAGAAATGCACATACTGCACAATTTAAAAGCTAATACCTAGATTGATGTGTTCATGCCCTCATTCTGTCTGTCCTCTTCTCCCTCTGGGAGAGTCATTTGGACTGTTATAGAGAAGTTAGTGACACGTTTTCTCTGTGTATCTGTTTATCCCAGTGATTAGTGCTATAAATGTACATTCCCTGTGTTCATTGAGCAATTCTGAAGCAGGTTGTTGTTCAGGTTCCTGCAATGTTAGCAGAAGGTTTTGCAACTGGAGCTTAGAGGTTGCGAAAACCCGTCTGCTGGATTTGCCCTGATTCAGTGTTCTCAGCCAGAATTTCCAGATTTTCCACTTCATGCAACACCTATAAGCAAAGTGACCTTCTCTGATTAACCTCGGCGGAGAGAGGATTGAGAGAAGCTACAAATATATATAATTTGTCAGTCACTGTTATTTCCTTGCATTGCTGGTGTGTTGATATTCCTGTGCATTCAACGATGGCATTTTCTTCCCACAGATATCATATATTTAAGGAAAAATTGATAGTATTAGTTCCCAAAGTGTGCCAGACTGTGTTAAGGCAGGGGGTGATGATTGCTTTTAGTCCAGTGACTCTCGTGTGGAAAAGCTGTGTAAGTGGTCTCAACAGAAGCTACAAACAGGAAAAAGGAAATGGAATGGGTAGTTCTTGTTTCTGAGTAGTTAATGAGCTGGAGAAGGAATTGCAGGACACGGGATTTGATGGATTGCTGTAGATGTGTGACTCTCGCAACCTCCTTAGTCCCAGAGGTGGATGGGCAAAGCTCTGTACATTTTACACTGGCTATACTCACCTGCTACGTGACACTCTTATTTTCATGGTGGTCGACTTTTATCCATCTGTCAGATGAAGAAAGATGGACAGCTTGCACTTGTTACAGCTCGTTTTGGAGGACAGCAGCAAACAGAGGCAGATTGTGTAGGAAACATGAAGATCATTTCAGAAATTCCCGTGTAGGCTAAAATATGAACAAAGCAAAAGCACCATCTGCAACCCCAATGACAGAAGAACCATGTGCTGTGTGATACTGTACAAAGGACCATCACAGAGAGTCCATGCAGCCAGCAAACTCCCAGCTTAACACTGAGGCAAAAGAGTTACCTTTTCATGATACGAGAGCGTTGTGATGGATAAGAGCATTCCTTTAATTCTGTTCTGCACCACTTTCTTTTTCTTCAAACCTATTTTCGTTTAATTTTTCATCTTTCCTGAAAAACGCCGGGATTTTGTGATTTAATGCTTTGCTGCATTAACACCGGATTGAAACTCTTCCTGTTTCAAGAAGACTCCTGGAGCTTTTTTAGCTTGACAAGTAAGGACCCTGGCTGGATGGCCTGTAGATCGCTGTGCAGGTCTCCCAAAGTACTTTCTGATGTCTTGCATGAAAAAGATGGGCACTGATCTTGAACAAACAACTGAAAAAAAACCCCAAAATCAACCTTTATTCTCTCCCTAGCCTCAAAAAGCTTAAAAGTATGGAGGAGGGACTGTTGAGGGTACATCACACTGAATCTATTTGTTCAGAATAGTGAGCAAACCCCCCATAATTATTTGTGAGGTATCACTTTGCAGTGGCAAGAAGCAACGTGTTGTGTGTTTCCCAGGAGTCCCAACCAGAGTGAGATCCCTCTGGGGACCAGAGGAAGAAAAGTCTTTGTACACCCACAAAGTGTGTCAGTGGAGGCTTCGGGCCTCAGACTCGGTTGTTTATCCTGATTACACCCAGGAAAATAAACATACAGAGAGATATGATAGATTTCAATAAGATATCAAGAACCACTTGAAGGAATATTTATTCTGGTTGTCAACCCAAAAGATCTATTCTAGGGAGCTGACAGATTATAGATAATCATTCATTGGTTTTGTTGCAGTGCTTTACAAGACTTACAAGTGCAGAAAAATTACCGGACTAAGTGCTTTCTCTTTCTGAGCAGCTGTAATATGTGGTGTGTTAATTGACATTTAACTTTTCTTCCCGTAGCTGATCGAGAATTCATAGAATCGAGGAGGAGAGCGCTGAAGCGTTTTATAAACCTGGTGGCTCGACATCCCCCTTTCTCAGAAGATGTGCTCTTGAAACTCTTTCTCTCGTTCAGCGGCTCCGTGAGTACCTGTCAGCAATAATCTCAAGTTTGTGTGTCTTCCTGTAACTGCTTTGCTGGGCACAGAGTCCCGAATTGCTCTTGACCTACACATTGTTGCTCCCCCGTGATGAGGAGCATTTTCTCTCAATATGTATTTCCACAGCTGGAAAGTGGAAGGTAATTGCACTCAATGCCAGGAGTGTCAGTATTTTGAAAATGGTAACTGTTCTTAGGGGAATACATATTATACTTGTCCTTAAATCAAAGCTGACCTGGGTGAAGCTCTCTCTAAGTTGTGCCTTTACTATTGCAGTGTATCTGAGAGCTCTGTGAGGTCCCTGGCGTTACTTCTGTCATGCTTATTTGGTTCTGTATCTTCTCCAGGATGTACAGAATAAGCTAAGAGAGTTGGTCCAGGGAGTAGGAGATGAATTCATGACCTGCAGATTAGCTACCCAGGCCAAGGTATGTATAGGAATTTCTTGCAACTTATTATTCTGCTTTAAATGGCTCTCTCCTCCAGGTGGGTCAGTTACGGCGTTTGTTGAGCGATGGAGACCTTAGGCAGAAAAAAGTTGTTTCCAAGTTTGAAGGACTTTCAAACTTGTGATTTTATTGAAAAGATCAAATAAATATTTGACTCTTGAGGCCTTGGTATTTCGAGCTAAATGCTGGTTCATGAATATGATAAAGACTAAACAATGAATCCTGCTCAGAACATGTTTCTGGGTAATTACTTCTACTTGCATAACAAAGAAATGCACATACTGCACAATTTAAAAGCTAATACCTAGATTGATGTGTTCATGCCCTCATTCTGTCTGTCCTCTTCTCCCTCTGGGAGAGTCATTTGGACTGTTATAGAGAAGTTAGTGACACGTTTTCTCTGTGTATCTGTTTATCCCAGTGATTAGTGCTATAAATGTACATTCCCTGTGTTCATTGAGCAATTCTGAAGCAGGTTGTTGTTCAGGTTCCTGCAATGTTAGCAGAAGGTTTTGCAACTGGAGCTTAATTCAGGCTTTTCCCAGCGATGCACGGGTCAGACAGAGCTGAATTTTGAGAACATGCTTGGCTTTGCCAGGCTGGTGGTTACTGGCAGCTTCAGACCAGAACCTGTGAGCTTGAAACCTCACAAACCCTGTTCTAACTGCAGAGTAGAACTGCAGATTTTTCCAGCTGTCAACACCTGGTATTTGAACCTCTTTCTGCCTCTGAAAATTAGGGGTATTTGCATAACATCTGACTTGGACACCTAAATTGTGAAGTTAATCTCTTCAGGGCTGTTATAGCGTGACATGAGAGAGTGAGAACATGGGGGAAACCTGTCTCTCTCTGCTGGCTGTGGGGTGGACTCACAATTAACGTGTGTGTGTGTGAGTCTCTGGTCTCTCCACTAGTAACCTCTCTTGTGCTTCTTCAGGACTTCCTCCCAGCCGACATACAGGCCCAGTTTGCTGCCAGCAGGGAGCTCATCAGAAATATTTATAATAGCTTTTATAAGCTTCGGGACCGTGCGGAGAGGATAGCTTCCCGAGCCATCGATAACGCCTCGGATCTCCTCATCTTTGGGAAGGAGCTCAGGTAGGTTTGGGGGGAAGAGGATTTGCTCATGGGAACCTTTCTGCTCTTTCAGGATTCGTAAGGTTTCCCTGCAAATTGGTAAGAATGAGTATTTCAATGCATGCTGTAGGTCATCATAAATTTTTTCTTACTATAAAAGAAGAAAAGGCATGTTTTCTGCTAAAGTTGCATCGCATAGAGCAAGAGAAAAGAAAACAGAAGTAGTTTGACATTCAGGTGCTGGTTCTATTGTCTCTTCCCCCAGTACATACACAGCTCTGTGTTTGTGACAGCTCAGCACCGCGGGCTGTTTAGACAGAAGTGAAACTCTGAGCTGCTCTCTGCAAGTCTATCTGCTTCGTGGAATTTGTCCCCTAGATTTGAATTCTTCTTATCTCCTCCCAGTGCTTTGGGCTCAGACACTACACCGCTTCCTTCCTGGGCTGCTCTGAATAATAGCACATGGGGGACTCTGAAACAAGCCTTGAAGGGTCTCTCAGTGGAGTTTGCGCTGCTGGCGGATAAGGCTGTGCAGCAGGTGAGTTCTTTACCATTTTCTTTCTTTTTTTTCTTTTTCCTTATTGTAAAATGAAGAGGGTTCGTTGCTGCCTTAAGTTTCATCTCAAACCATGGTCTCTGTGGACGTAGGGACTTGAGTTAAGAGTGAGATTGTGGTCCAAACTCACACCCTCACCCACCAGGCTGCTTGTTCAGGTTTTTATGTACAAAAAGGTGTTTTTCTGGCAACTCCCTAAAGTAGCTGTTGCCCTTTTTTTTTCTTTTTTCTTTTTTTACTAAAAACTAAGCTGGAATCAATGTCAGTTCATTCAAGTCCATTTTGGCTGTTAGAATAGAACCCAAAGAAGTATCCCAAGCCTAAAAGCATATTAAAGCTCCTTCAGGTACATTTTTCACTCATCTGAAATATTGGCACTGGCTTAAAACTTTTATTATTTCAAACGTTGCATAACCGTAGAAAATCCTGTATTGTTTTTTGCTTTATCTGTGAGAGAACAAGCTTTTCACTGTCTTCTCTCCTGCCTGTGCTGCTAAGCTTAATGTGTTTCAATAAATAATAGATTTTGGTGTTTGGAAGTTCATGTATTGCTGCAGTAAAGAGGAGCTGGTGAACAGTGAGCAGAGCGGGGTCTGGAGTGAACTGGAACAAAATCCTAGTGCTGAAAAAGCTTCACTGGTTCATAAGTTCTTATGATGGAATGTGAATGGTGAAGACCTTTCTTTTGAGGTTGCGAAAACCCGTCTGCTGGATTTGCCCTGATTCAGTGTTCTCAGCCAGAATTTCCAGATTTTCCACTTCATGCAACACCTATAAGCAAAGTGACCTTCTCTGATTAACCTCGGCGGAGAGAGGATTGAGAGAAGCTACAAATATATATAATTTGTCAGTCACTGTTATTTCCTTGCATTGCTGGTGTGTTGATATTCCTGTGCATTCAACGATGGCATTTTCTTCCCACAGATATCATATATTTAAGGAAAAATTGATAGTATTAGTTCCCAAAGTGTGCCAGACTGTGTTAAGGCAGGGGGTGATGATTGCTTTTAGTCCAGTGACTCTCGTGTGGAAAAGCTGTGTAAGTGGTCTCAACAGAAGCTACAAACAGGAAAAAGGAAATGGAATGGGTAGTTCTTGTTTCTGAGTAGTTAATGAGCTGGAGAAGGAATTGCAGGACACGGGATTTGATGGATTGCTGTAGATGTGTGACTCTCGCAACCTCCTTAGTCCCAGAGGTGGATGGGCAAAGCTCTGTACATTTTACACTGGCTATACTCACCTGCTACGTGACACTCTTATTTTCATGGTGGTCGACTTTTATCCATCTGTCAGATGAAGAAAGATGGACAGCTTGCACTTGTTACAGCTCGTTTTGGAGGACAGCAGCAAACAGAGGCAGATTGTGTAGGAAACATGAAGATCATTTCAGAAATTCCCGTGTAGGCTAAAATATGAACAAAGCAAAAGCACCATCTGCAACCCCAATGACAGAAGAACCATGTGCTGTGTGATACTGTACAAAGGACCATCACAGAGAGTCCATGCAGCCAGCAAACTCCCAGCTTAACACTGAGGCAAAAGAGTTACCTTTTCATGATACGAGAGCGTTGTGATGGATAAGAGCATTCCTTTAATTCTGTTCTGCACCACTTTCTTTTTCTTCAAACCTATTTTCGTTTAATTTTTCATCTTTCCTGAAAAACGCCGGGATTTTGTGATTTAATGCTTTGCTGCGTTAACACCGGATTGAAACTCTTCCTGTTTCAAGAAGACTCCTGGAGCTTTTTTAGCTTGACAAGTAAGGACCCTGGCTGGATGGCCTGTAGATCGCTGTGCAGGTCTCCCAAAGTACTTTCTGATGTCTTGCATGAAAAAGATGGGCACTGATCTTGAACAAACAACTGAAAAAAAACCCCAAAATCAACCTTTATTCTCTCCCTAGCCTCAAAAAGCTGACCGTGCGGAGAGGATAGCTTCCCGAGCCATCGATAACGCCTCGGATCTCCTCATCTTTGGGAAGGAGCTCAGGTAGGTTTGGGGGGAAGAGGATTTGCTCATGGGAACCTTTCTGCTCTTTCAGGATTCGTAAGGTTTCCCTGCAAATTGGTAAGAATGAGTATTTCAATGCATGCTGTAGGTCATCATAAATTTTTTCTTACTATAAAAGAAGAAAAGGCATGTTTTCTGCTAAAGTTGCATCGCATAGAGCAAGAGAAAAGAAAACAGAAGTAGTTTGACATTCAGGTGCTGGTTCTATTGTCTCTTCCCCCAGTACATACACAGCTCTGTGTTTGTGACAGCTCAGCACCGCGGGCTGTTTAGACAGAAGTGAAACTCTGAGCTGCTCTCTGCAAGTCTATCTGCTTCGTGGAATTTGTCCCCTAGATTTGAATTCTTCTTATCTCCTCCCAGTGCTTTGGGCTCAGACACTACACCGCTTCCTTCCTGGGCTGCTCTGAATAATAGCACATGGGGGACTCTGAAACAAGCCTTGAAGGGTCTCTCAGTGGAGTTTGCGCTGCTGGCGGATAAGGCTGTGCAGCAGGTGAGTTCTTTACCATTTTCTTTCTTTTTTTTCTTTTTCCTTATTGTAAAATGAAGAGGGTTCGTTGCTGCCTTAAGTTTCATCTCAAACCATGGTCTCTGTGGACGTAGGGACTTGAGTTAAGAGTGAGATTGTGGTCCAAACTCACACCCTCACCCACCAGGCTGCTTGTTCAGGCTTGGATGAAAAACCTGGACTGTGTTTAAATGGGAAGAATACACTGGGAAAGGGAAAGGAGGGAAAAGCTTGCTTTCTTTTTTCACTTCAAATGGATATTGGACAAGTTAAGCTGTGCTGCTGTACTGAGCTGTCCAAAAGTCGTGTGTTCTGTCTTATTAATCTGCTGCAGAGAACACAGAAGAATTATTTCTGAATCAAATTTTGACATTCATATACTTTATCATTACATGAGAGTCGTTCAGACAGAAGCATCCTATTCCTGTGTAAGTATGCAGTGTGATAATGACTGTTAGAATAATGTGAGAGCGTGACAGGCTGGGAAGGAAAAGTAATTGTTTTGTCTTCACTTCATCTCGTTGTGTTGAAACACTCAGAGTGCTTTTATAGATCAGTCAGACCAGGTCTCTTTCTCCAGAGTTTATGCTCCAGAGAGCTCTATTGATACCAGAAGAAAAAGACAGTGTTTAGTAACATAAAAAAAAAACAACCAAGCGGTGGGATTTGGCTTGGTGTCTCATCTCTGCCTCCTGATGCATGAGCTATTATGGGGAGCACGCAGGTATTTAGAGCTTTAATGGATTTAGGTGCCTTGTAAGAAGGGAAGATGAAAGATTGGAGGAATCTGCAAGAGCAAGGAATCCCAGGCAGAGAGGGCTGAAAGGGCTGACAGATGGGAGTGAGGAATTAACTCCTCTTGTCACCATCAGTCAGAGGGAAAAGCTGTTCCTGCTCCAGTCAGGTCCCTGTTCTGAGAACTGAAGACTCAACACCCCGGTGCCATCTGAAAGGTTTTTGCTGCTGTTGTGCAAGCCTTGATGTGCCCTGGAGAATCCATGGAGGGCCTACGTGGTGTTAAGGACGTGAAGAACTGTGATGTGGGTTCTTGCCAGGCTTACGTAAAATGGACTTTTTCCTTGTTTTCTAGGGTAAACAGGAAGAGAATGATGTGGTGGAGAAGCTGAACCTTTTCCTGGATTTACTCCAGTCCTATAAAGTGAGCTCTACTGTTCTTCTGCCAATAAGAAAGTTGTTTAGAGCGAACTTGTGCTCTTTGGAGGGTGTAACGCCAACTGGATGGAAAACTGTCTGGGAGGCCAGTGGAGAGGAGAACTGGGCATGTGGCAGAGGGAGGGGGGTGGCTGGTGGCCGTAGCCAGCGCTGTGGCCTGACTGAGCAGCTCATCCCCTGATGAGAATTTGCCAAACAGCAAACCCTGCAAGGGATTTAAAAAGACAACTGCTTGAATTATATGGATCAGCTAACTTTTTGTAGATTTGGCTACAAAATCTACTTTTTGTAGATTTGGAGTCAAAGCAGGGAATTAGGTGGCTACTGGTCGTGGGGACGAGAGTTCAGTTACGAGTAAAAGAATTTCTGTTAATACTAACCTTTCAATCAAAGGCACTTTTTTTTTAGAAGCACTTAATGAAACTGTAAGTGGTGGCCTCTCCTGACATTCCCAGGCCTGGGCTGACGTAGAAGGACACTACTGAGCTCTTACCACAGTTAATTGCCAGCACTTAATATTGAGAAGGGCACAAAAGATAAGAGGCCTGATCAGATCTAAACTGCTGGCAGAAGCCATGTTCCTCTTAAGCTCACTGGTCTGGCTCCAAGCAGTTTTCTTGAATTCTTAGCTGCCAACATTTTTCTTTTTTTTTGAGAAAAAAAACCCCAAAATCAACCTTTATTCTCTCCCTAGCCTCAAAAAGCTTAAAAGTATGGAGGAGGGACTGTTGAGGGTACATCACACTGAATCTATTTGTTCAGAATAGTGAGCAAACCCCCCATAATTATTTGTGAGGTATGACTTTGCAGTGTCAAGAAGCAACTTGTTGTGTGTTTCCCAGGAGTCCCAACCAGAGTGAGATCCCTCTGGGGACCAGAGGAAGAAAAGTCTTTGTACACCCACAAAGTGTGTCAGTGGAGGCTTCGGGCCTCAGACTCGGTTGTTTATCCTGATTACACCCAGGAAAATAAACATACAGAGAGATATGATAGATTTCAATAAGATATAAATAATTATTTGTGAGGTATCACTTTGCAGTGGCAAGAAGCAACGTGTTGTGTGTTTCCCAGGAGTCCCAACCAGAGTGAGATCCCTCTGGGGACCAGAGGAAGAAAAGTCTTTGTACACCCACAAAGTGTGTCAGTGGAGGCTTCGGGCCTCAGACTCGGTTGTTTATCCTGATTACACCCAGGAAAATAAACATACAGAGAGATATGATAGATTTCAATAAGATATAAAGAACCACTTGAAGGAATATTTATTCTGCTGGTCAACCCAAAAGATCTGTTTTAGGGAGCTGACAGATTATAGATAATCGTTCACTGGTTTTGTTGCAGTGCTTTACAAGACTCACAAGTACAGAGAAATTACCGGACTAAGTGCTTTCTCTTTTCTCTTTCTGAGCAGCTGTAATATGCGGTGTGTTAATTGACATTTAACTTTTCTTCCCGTAGCTGATCGAGAATTCATAGAATCGAGGAGGAGAGCGCTGAAGCGTTTTATAAACCTGGTGGCTCGACATCCCCCTTTCTCAGAAGATGTGCTCTTGAAACTCTTTCTCTCGTTCAGCGGCTCCGTGAGTACCTGTCAGCAATAATCTCAAGTTTGTGTGTCTTCCTGTAACTGCTTTGCTGGGCACAGAGTCCCGAATTGCTCTTGACCTACACATTGTTGCTCCCCCGTGATGAGGAGCATTTTCTCTCAATATGTATTTCCACAGCTGGAAAGTGGAAGGTAATTGCACTCAATGCCAGGAGTGTCAGTATTTTGAAAATGGTAACTGTTCTTAGGGGAATACATATTATACTTGTCCTTAAATCAAAGCTGACCTGGGTGAAGCTCTCTCTAAGTTGTGCCTTTACTATTGCAGTGTATCTGAGAGCTCTGTGAGGTCCCTGGCGTTACTTCTGTCATGCTTATTTGGTTCTGTATCTTCTCCAGGATGTACAGAATAAGCTAAGAGAGTTGGTCCAGGGAGTAGGAGATGAATTCATGACCTGCAGATTAGCTACCCAGGCCAAGGTATGTATAGGAATTTCTTGCAACTTATTATTCTGCTTTAAATGGCTCTCTCCTCCAGGTGGGTCAGTTACGGCGTTTGTTGAGCGATGGAGAACTTAGGCAGAAGAGAGTTGTTTCCAAGTTTGAAGGACTTTCAAACTTGTGATTTTATTGAAAAGATCAAATAAATATTTGACTCTTGAGGCCTTGGTATTTTGAGCTAAACGCTGGTTCATGAATATGATAAAGATTAAACAATGAATCCTGCTCAGAACATGTTTCTGGGTAATTACTTCTACTTGCATAACAAAGAAATGCACATACTGCACAATTTAAAAGCTAATACCTAGATTGATGTGTTCATGCCCTCATTCTGTCTGTCCTCTTCTCCCTCTGGGAGAGTCATTTGGACTGTTATAGAGAAGTTAGTGACACGTTTTCTCTGTGTATCTGTTTATCCCAGTGATTAGTGCTATAAATGTACATTCCCTGTGTTCATTGAGCAATTCTGAAGCAGGTGGTTGTTCAGGTTCCTGCAATGTTAGCAGAAGGTTTTGCAACTGGAGCTTAATTCAGGCTTTTCCCAGCGATGCACGGGTCAGACAGAGCTGAATTTTGAGAACATGCTTGACTTTGCCAGGCTGGTGGTTACTCGCAGCTTCAGACCAGAACCTGTGAGCTTGAAACCTCACAAACCCTGTTCTAACTGCAGAGTAGAACTGCAGATTTTTCCGCTGTCAACACCTGGTATTTGAACCTCTTTCTGCCTCTGAAAATTAGGGGTATTTGCATAACATCTGACTTGGACACCTAAATTGTGAAGTTAATCTCTTCAGGGCTGTTATAGCGTGACATGAGAGAGTGAGAACATGGGGGAAACCTGTCTCTCTCTGCTGGCTGTGGGGTGGACTCACAATTAACGTGTGTGTGTGTGAGTCTCTGGTCTCTCCACTAGTAACCTCTCTTGTGCTTCTTCAGGACTTCCTCCCAGCCGACATACAGGCCCAGTTTGCTGCCAGCAGGGAGCTCATCAGAAATATTTATAATAGCTTTTATAAGCTTCGGGACCGTGCGGAGAGGATAGCTTCCCGAGCCATCGATAACGCCTCGGATCTCCTCATCTTTGGGAAGGAGCTCAGGTAGGTTTGGGGGGAAGAGGATTTGCTCATGGGAACCTTTCTGCTCTTTCAGGATTCGTAAGGTTTCCCTGCAAATTGGTAAGAATGAGTATTTCAATGCATGCTGTAGGTCATCATAAATTTTTTCTTACTATAAAAGAAGAAAAGGCATGTTTTCTGCTAAAGTTGCATCGCATAGAGCAAGAGAAAAGAAAACAGAAGTAGTTTGACATTCAGGTGCTGGTTCTATTGTCTCTTCCCCCAGTACATACACAGCTCTGTGTTTGTGACAGCTCAGCACCGCGGGCTGTTTAGACAGAAGTGAAACTCTGAGCTGCTCTCTGCAAGTCTATCTGCTTCGTGGAATTTGTCCCCTAGATTTGAATTCTTCTTATCTCCTCCCAGTGCTTTGGGCTCAGACACTACACCGCTTCCTTCCTGGGCTGCTCTGAATAATAGCACATGGGGGACTCTGAAACAAGCCTTGAAGGGTCTCTCAGTGGAGTTTGCGCTGCTGGCGGATAAGGCTGTGCAGCAGGTGAGTTCTTTACCATTTTCTTTCTTTTTTTTCTTTTTCCTTATTGTAAAATGAAGAGGGTTCGTTGCTGCCTTAAGTTTCATCTCAAACCATGGTCTCTGTGGACGTAGGGACTTGAGTTAAGAGTGAGATTGTGGTCCAAACTCACACCCTCACCCACCAGGCTGCTTGTTCAGGCTTGGATGAAAAACCTGGACTGTGTTTAAATGGGAAGAATACACTGGGAAAGGGAAAGGAGGGAAAAGCTTGCTTTCTTTTTTCACTTCAAATGGATATTGGACAAGTTAAGCTGTGCTGCTGTACTGAGCTGTCCAAAAGTCGTGTGTTCTGTCTTATTAATCTGCTGCAGAGAACACAGAAGAATTATTTCTGAATCAAATTTTGACATTCATATACTTTATCATTACATGAGAGTCGTTCAGACAGAAGCATCCTATTCCTGTGTAAGTATGCAGTGTGATAATGACTGTTAGAATAATGTGAGAGCGTGACAGGCTGGGAAGGAAAAGTAATTGTTTTGTCTTCACTTCATCTCGTTGTGTTGAAACACTCAGAGTGCTTTTATAGATCAGTCAGACCAGGTCTCTTTCTCCAGAGTTTATGCTCCAGAGAGCTCTATTGATACCAGAAGAAAAAGACAGTGTTTAGTAACATAAAAAAAAAACAACCAAGCGGTGGGATTTGGCTTGGTGTCTCATCTCTGCCTCCTGATGCATGAGCTATTATGGGGAGCACGCAGGTATTTAGAGCTTTAATGGATTTAGGTGCCTTGTAAGAAGGGAAGATGAAAGATTGGAGGAATCTGCAAGAGCAAGGAATCCCAGGCAGAGAGGGCTGAAAGGGCTGACAGATGGGAGTGAGGAATTAACTCCTCTTGTCACCATCAGTCAGAGGGAAAAGCTGTTCCTGCTCCAGTCAGGTCCCTGTTCTGAGAACTGAAGACTCAACAGCCTGGTGCCATCTGAAAGGTTTTTGCTGCTGTTGTGCAAGCCTTGATGTGCCCTGGAGAATCCATGGAGGGCCTACGTGGTGTTAAGGACGTGAAGAACTGTGATGTGGGTTCTTGCCAGGCTTACGTAAAATGGACTTTTTCCTTGTTTTCTAGGGTAAACAGGAAGAGAATGATGTGGTGGAGAAGCTGAACCTTTTCCTGGATTTACTCCAGTCCTATAAAGTGAGCTCTACTGTTCTTCTGCCAATAAGAAAGTTGTTTAGAGCGAACTTGTGCTCTTTGGAGGGTGTAACGCCAACTGGATGGAAAACTGTCTGGGAGGCCAGTGGAGAGGAGAACTGGGCATGTGGCAGAGGGAGGGGGGTGGCTGGTGGCCGTAGCCAGCGCTGTGGCCTGACTGAGCAGCTCATCCCCTGATGAGAATTTGCCAAACAGCAAACCCTGCAAGGGATTTAAAAAGACAACTGCTTGAATTATATGGATCAGCTAACTTTTTGTAGATTTGGCTACAAAATCTACTTTTTGTAGATTTGGAGTCAAAGCAGGGAATTAGGTGGCTACTGGTCGTGGGGACGAGAGTTCAGTTACGAGTAAAAGAATTTCTGTTAATACTAACCTTTCGATCAAAGGCACTTTTTTTAGAAGCACTTAATGAAACTGTAAGTGGTGGCCTCTCCTGACATTCCCAGGCCTGGGCTGACGTAGAAGGACACTACTGAGCTCTTACCACAGTTAATTGCCAGCACTTAATATTGAGAAGGGCACAAAAGATAAGAGGCCTGATCAGATCTAAACTGCTGGCAGAAGCCATGTTCCTCTTAAGCTCACTGGTCTGGCTCCAAGCAGTTTTCTTGAATTCTTAGCTGCCAACATTTTTCTTTTTTTTTGACCCTCTTGAAAATAAATAAAGAAAACCCAGCAGCATAGAAATTCCATAAAGCGTGACGGTGTGTTTGTGTTCCCCATGTCCTTGGCTGAGGTGCTTGCTGCCTCTCGGCTTCCACCAAGTACCTGTTTTTTCCTTTTTCCATGAAGGACCTGTGTGAAAGACACGAGAAGGGGGTATTGCACAAGCACCAGCGAGCCTTGCACAAGTACAGCATGATGAAGAAGCAGATGATGAGCGCCACCGTGCAGAACAAGGAACCGGAGTCGGTGGAGCAGTTGGAGTCCCGAATTGTGGAGGTAGGACGGGTGCCTGGGCCAGCAAAGGGGGGTTCTGGGCTCCCAGAAAGGTGCCCCTGCAGAGCTCACTTGGATTTGCACAAACACAACTGCAGGGGCCTACAGGAAAGCTGGGGAGGGAGGGACTCTTGATCAGGGAGGAGGAGGAAGGGTTTGACACTGAAAGGGGTTTAGACTCAGAGGGGAGATTTAGATTAGATATTTGGAAGAACTTCTTTACTGTGAGAAAGAACCACTTGAAGGAATATTTATTCTGCTGGTCAACCCAAAAGATCTGTTTTAGGGAGCTGACAGATTATAGATAATCGTTCACTGGTTTTGTTGCAGTGCTTTACAAGACTCACAAGTACAGAGAAATTACCGGACTAAGTGCTTTCTCTTTTCTCTTTCTGAGCAGCTGTAATATGCGGTGTGTTAATTGACATTTAACTTTTCTTCCGAGGCCAAAAGGGTAAGCTGTACTTTGGGGAATTTGAGCTACCTGCTCTGCTGCAGGGAAAACACCGTTTGTTTTCCCCAACACTTCTTACTGGCTCTTTGGCAGCACGTCGTTGGCAGGAGCTGTGGAAAGTCTGTCATATCAAATGGGTCCAGGAACTGCCTTTTTAAGTTTTTGCTATGTGTTTGAATTGCTGGGCTGGTGAGGAATGCTGTTTTCTCCTGCTGCAAGTGAACCTCCTTGGCATATCCTCTTCCTGGCAGTGTATTTCACTGAGCTCCTCTTTTTTTTCAGCAAGAAAACGCAATCCTCACCATGGAGCTGCGGAACTACTTCTCTCTCTACTGCCTGCATCAGGAGACACAGCTGATCCACATCTACCTGCCTCTCACCTCTCACATCCTGGGGGCCTTTGTCAACTCCCAGATCCAGGGTCACAAAGAGGTGAGTTCTGCTGGATTATATTCTTCTTCCCAAAATATGAATGAGAACTTGAATGTATTTGTTTTCACCCCTGGGCCTTCCTCCTTTAACCATCTGTCCAGCTGGGTGCTCTCAGAACTTCCTAAGAAGTCACCAAAGGTCTTTCCAGCTTGAGGTGAGACCAAGGCCAGCCTCTAACCTCTCTAAAAAGACTGTATCTTCTTGCAGCAAGTTGTTGTGGTTTCCTTTTATTTTTTTTCCCCCCCTCCCTCTCCTGTCTGCAGATGGCCCTACCCTATGGGTAGTTGAAGAAGACCCAGCCATTAACTAACTTTTCTGTAATGAATGATGAATCTGGTTTTTGTTGTGGTACACAGAAATTACGTGACAGAGAACAACTTCTTTGTTTTTGCTCTAAATTAAAAAGCTGCCCTTTCTTAACCCCTAAATCTGACCTTTTAGCATTCTCTGTGCAGGGTTGGTCTTATGTTTGTGGCATTAGAAGTCTCTCCTCCTTCAGCTCCCTCCCTCCCTGCAGTGAAGGAATGTGACTGAGGTGTGGGAAATCTCTCATCCCAGTGAAATGCTGAGAGCTGCCTTGCAGCCCCAGCCTAAAAGGGACAATCTGGGTCTGCTGGACTTCCCCAAAATACTTCAACAAAATGTGTGTTGTGCTTTTGAGTACTCTGAAACCGCCGCTGAAGTGCAGCGTGGTGAGATGACTACCTGCCGGGTTGTCATGGCTCTTTTCTCTCCTTTCCTTCTCACAGATGAGCAAAGTTTGGAATGAGTTGAAGCCGAAGCTGAGCTGCCTCTTTGTGGGATCTACCAATATGCCAACTCCACCATTGTCGCCTCCAGAGGGAAACTTCTTCTCCAATTAATGAATGCTCTGAGCATCTGGCGTGGAGCAAGAAGTGCAATCAACCAAGGGGTGGGACCTCTACCTCCAGATGTTAGAATGAACCCTCCAAACAGCTATTATTTTTTTTTTTTTAATTTTTTTTTTTTAATACTGCTGCTTTGAGCTGCTCTCTTGATTTAGACAGACTGGATGTGGGGCAGAACATACGGATATAAAGACAAATCTCTTAATTTGGACATGACATGCTCCGGGGCAGAGCTGCTGCTGGTTGTGCTGCAGTCCCTCTCTGCAGGGTCAGGATGGGACCTGGTGCTGTTGCTGAGGCCTCTGCATCTCCTGCTGAGGGTTCATCTGATGGGTCTGGACACCCCTCTGAGCGCTGGGGTGAATGGGGGTGTCCGAAACACTTGTCCTAGAGATGGATTGAATTCTAAGCGTGGAGGGGAACATGCATTAGGGGTGTGAGGAAAGCTGGAAGCCATCCCCCACCCCATTGATAGGTGTCTGGGTTTGGTTTCTTACTGCTAGACCCTAGAGCAGCCAACATGAACAGAGGGGCTGGATTCCCTGACCCGGCTGGGGGTCAGTGCTGCTCCTCACACTGATTTTTTTTTCCTCACGAGGCAGATGATTGTGGGGGTGTTTCAGGCTGTGGGGCAGCCTGAGGGACTGGTGTATTTCGGTTTGGGCCAAAGATGACTGGGTTCAGGAAGTCGGAAGAGGTTCCTCATTTATATGAGGAAATTAATTGAATAAAACACTCCTTAATCCTAAACCACTCGCACTATAGGAGCAGCTGGGAGGTTGCTGGCTTATTTTCTTCTGGAGGTTCTGACACCCCCCTGCGAGTAGCTGTCGAGGACTGTTGGGGCCCCAAGGCTGGTGTTTGCTTTGCTCTAGTGTCAGATGAAGTATCCTGTTCCACCAGCAGGCTGGGACACAATCCTGCTAAAATTCCTTAGCAAAAAAAAAAAAAAAAATATCAGCATTTATCAGGATGTTCCTGTCATTCTTTTTTCTGGCTGTGGGTAGCATTGGATTGTGTTTGTGAAGAAGACAATTAAGTGACAGTTCGTTATCTCTCTAAAAATAGCAGGGCCCTTGGTAATGGGGCTTTCAGGCTGGTTTGTGATGCTGATAAAGGGACTAAACATTCTCGCTTTGTATCTTTGTGCCTTTTCCTCCTGAGGCCAAGGGTAAGGGAGGAGAACTTACCTGTCCTGTTGCCTTGGGGGAAATAGTGGGATCTTCCCAAGAAACTGAGAAATGAGGAAAACTGCAAATGTGTGCAGCAATGTGGGATAAATGAGGAAAACTGCAAATGTGTGCAGCAAAACTCCACGTGCACAGGACTCCCCTGAACCCAGCTCCTCTGTGGCCAAACCAGCTGCCAAAGGAGACTTTTGAGACTTGGCTTCTTTGTGTTTTCTCCGAGGGGGTAAAAAGGAAGCCCATTACCAGGGACACTCCTCTCAAACTGGAACCGCTACAGTATTTTCCCATTGGGGAACTTCCCCATTAGCAGGAAATGTATTTAAAACCTCTCATCACAAAAGCTTTTTTTTTTTTTTAACTTAGAAAACTTAATGCAACATGAAGCTCTTCCTAGTCCAGGTGGAAATTATGGGTTAGTTTCTTCAGCTAGGAGCAAGGTATGAAGTTCCTTGCCCAGTTTCACAGGACTGGCATAACCATTACTCGCTCAAGGGGGTAAATTTCTTGGGTGCTGGGCCTCAGGGGAAGGACTTTTCTTAACAGCCTTGTTCAGAATGCGTTATTAAGAGCATTTTTTTTATAGCAATTCAAGTCTTAACTCTCTTCTGAGTCTTTCCTCCTGCATATTGGCCTTGGCCAGGGAGGCAGATGAACTGCAAATGGCTGGGAGGGATTTGGTTCTCTCTCCTGGTGATTTCCAGAGCGATGCAGCAGAGACTCTGCTCACAAACCAGAGCAAACTGGCCGGGGAGGGTTTCTGCTCTACAGTAACGAAGAAGATAATTATCTCAAGAATGGCACAGAAGGTTTTTCTCCTTGGCCTTGTCTTGATTAGGAAGATAAGTTTGTGGTTAAAGTGCGGAAATGATGTGTTTTTAGATGCTCGTCACTCCTTGCACCTTCAGAAGGTGCTGGTGATGGGCTGGCGTGTGCTTAGTCTTAGGAGCCATCCTCCTCATGTGGGGAACAGTCAAATTGAGAAAATATGCATATTGGCCTTGGCCAGGGAGGCAGATGAACTGCAAATGGCTGGGAGGGATTTGGTTCTCTCTCCTGGTGATTTCCAGAGCGATGCAGCAGAGACTCTGCTCACAAACCAGAGCAAACTGGCCGGGGAGGGTTTCTGCTCTACAGTAACGAAGAAGATAATTATCTCAAGAATGGCACAGAAGGTTTTTCTCCTTGGCCTTGTCTTGATTAGGAAGATAAGTTTGTGGTTAAAGTGCGGAAATGATGTGTTTTTAGATGCTCGTCACTCCTTGCACCTTCAGAAGGTGCTGGTGATGGGCTGGCGTGTGCTTAGTCTTAGGAGCCATCCTCCTCATGTGGGGAACAGTCAAATTGAGAAAATACCACATGTTTTGGGGCAAGAGCTGGTATCTGTGTGGTGGATCTTCTGCCTGACTGGGCAGGCTGGGGTAGAGGACTGGGCCGTGTTCTGTAGAAGGACGTGCAAAGTACGAGCCTGACTGGAGCTTTGCACTTCTCATGGTTAGGAAAAAAAGAGTTACAATTTTAGACTTTATTTGAAAGCAAACAAAAAAACCCCCTAAACATCAACCCCACCTTTGGACTTTAGACTAACTCCTCTTTCCTGTTCTCCTTCAAAGCAAGAATTCTCCAAGTCCAAATGCTGAGACTGTGATAAACACAGAGAAACTGGAATTGCTTTGAGAAAACACCCATCCCTCTGTTGTCCCATCCTTCTCTCTTTGAGGAGGGCAGCTTTGGGGTGGGGTTTTCTTGGTTTTTTTTAAACTCTGCTCACATTACTTTGAGAGCAGAGGCCTTGTACTCTCAGAGCTGATACAGCTGATGGCACTTTCAGAGTTTGTTTCATACTGGACTGTCAAACCTCTGTCTCATCCCTAAGCACACACACACACACTATTTCAACGAGGCCTAATGAAGTGGGTTCTGTTGCCAGTAGCTGGGCAGATTGCAATTAACACTAAGCAAACCAGAAGACTAATTGAGGAGCAGGTGCTGCCTGTCCCAGAAGGGATGCTCCTGTAGGATGTAGCGCCAAAGAGCGAACGTGCCTTCTGGAATGGGAGCTTTCGGGGTAGCACTCGAGCTCCTGGGGACTTTGAAGTGTTCAAAGCAGTGATGGGAGGAGAGGCCTCTTGTCTCTCTGTCAGTGTTGTGCTCAAAATCTGTCACAAGGTACCAGAGTAATAAACAGCTGAGAACCTGAAAAACGTTCTCTCCAAAGGGCTATGTGTTTTTGTCACTCCTGAGGTCTCTGCTTCAACCTGGGAAGTGGCACTTACAGGCTTTTTGACCAGTATCCTGTGTTGAAAGGCTTCCCAAACTCCAGTTACACCACAACCCCAATCTCTGCTCCTTTCCCCCTCCTTCCCATCTGCCTTGCAAGTTGCTCCTCCCGAGTTGTGACGTTTTCAGCAGTGCCTTGCTGCCTTCCCCTGCTTTTACTTTTCTGCTTTGATCGTGCCAGGATGTAATTCGTGGAATTTGTAACAGGCTCATTCCCAATCTCCAATTCGTGCTGTTTCCTAAAAGACAGAGATCACCCTCTGGGGACAGAACTTATTTAAAAGCTGTTGGTCTCCCCAACTGCAGCAGGAGCAGTAATGTCACTGCTCTTTGACATGAGTCAGCGCTGGTGAGAGGATTGAGCTAAGGGCAGAGGAGGGGACAGCAGATAGAAGCACAGGCCTGAGCTGTGCTTGTTCTTTTCCTTCCTAAACTGGAGGAACAGAGTGATTTGCTCTCTCCCACTGTGTAAATTATGTGTAAATTCCCAGTTTCCACAAGGAAATGAATGGAGGGAACATCAGAGGTACCAGCTGCTGGTTGCTCCCTTTCCTACCACCCAGTGAGGTCTCACATCCCCTTACAAGCTCCCTCTCCCCCTGTGCTATATATATTTTCTCTCCTCTCCTTGCCTGGAGCCATTCCCTGCAGGAGATGAGCCCCATCCCTTCCTGCCCTGTCACAGCAGAGCCATCACACCCCCTGTCAGTCAGTCCTTGTGCAGCACAACAGGAAAAGCCAGAGCCAAAGGTGTTAACTCCTCTGCTGTGGGTCTGAGCTGTGGTTGTACTGGGTGGATGGAGGAGGGTGTTTTGGAGTGGGATAAATTATTCAGAACTGCCTGAGGGAGACAAGGAGAAACAATCTTGTTGAGAGGGGGTGAGTTTTGCCTGCCTGGAGTATTCCTGTATCTTTGCTTTGCTCAAATAGCCTTATTGTATGAAGCACTTTATCCAAATGCAGGAATTAAAGAACTATTACTACAGCTGGTAGACTGGAAATGTTTACAGATCCTATATTACATTCCAAGATTCTATCTGTAAGTGTTATATGTGTTTGTAAAAGTGTTTAAAAAGAAAAACCAAAACAACCCAAAACTTGTGTCAGAAGTTACATATGTGCTGTGTTATTTCTGGAAGAGTTTGATTAAGCTTTTGCTGCCCGGATGCTGAGCTGCTCACCTGTCAGTGCCTTTCACCTGTGAAAGGAAGCCAACCCCTAAAAGGCCCTTAAACAGCCCAGGAGGTAGCCAGCTGTTTACAACAGAGCAACACACGCTTTTAAAAATATTTTTTAATCTTTTAAAAACATTTCCAGCCACAAGGGGAAAAGCCTAAAGCATTAGCCACCTGTGAAGAAAAGGGTTAACACTATGTTTTTAATAGTTGTGATCACATAACCGCTAAAGTATACCACAGCCAGGGACTTCACAGCATGGAAATCTTGTTACTTTTCTTTTTGCTGTAAGAAACCCCCTTATTTTCCTGACTTCCCAGGGCCTTCTCTTTGCTGGAGAGCTGAGAAAGGAGACCCTTAGGACTCATACTCGTGGTGTTCTCGCCCAGCGTGGGCAGCAGCACATACATCTAATGCTTCTGTTTTCTTAAACTTCCTCCACTTCTTTCAGGCTGTGCTCCAGGATAGTGTCTTGTCCCTGGAACTTAAAATAGCCACGAAACAACTTTTTCTGCAGCACCAGGGGAAACCAGTAGATATCGTCTGCCCACATGTGATTGAAGGGCACCTCGTCCAGCCGAAACCACTGGGGCCGCATTTCTGGGGGGAGAAAACAAAAGAACTTTGGGTGAGACTTTCTCTTGTTTTCCTGCTGCCCAGGCTTTTTGAGTATTTGTCAACAAGCAGCTTCCCTCCCCAGCCCAGCTGCCTCCTCCTCAGGGGGGTTCTGCATTTCTGAAGAGCAGGGCTGGCTCAGAAGAGGATGCTCATCCTTCCTTCCCCCCCTCCCCTGGCTGCCTACCCTCGCTTTCTGTTGGCTCTCCGTGAAATTCATCCGCCCGGAAAACGTGAACATCCATCAGTTCAGAGTTGCCTACAAATTCAAAGGTGATCCTGCCCATCTTCTGCAAGGTGTCCACGGTCAGCCCGCTCTCCTCCAGGAGCTCCCTGCACAAGAAATAAGACCTCTGGAAAGCTGCCTGGAAGAAAGAGACCTGGGGGTTCTAGTTGACAAGCGGCTGAACATGAGCCGGCCGTGTGCCCAGGGGGGCAAGAAAGCCAATGGCATCCTGGCTTGTATCAAAAATAGTGTGACCAGCAGCAGTAGGGAGGTGATTGTGCCCCTGTGCTCAGCACTGGGGAGGCCACACCTCGAGTGTTGTGTCCAGTTTTGGGCACCTCAATACAAGAGAGATCTCGAGGTGCTGGAGCGAGGGCAGAGGAGGGCAACGGAGCTGGTGAGGGGGCTGGAAAACAAATCGTCTGAGGAGCGGCTGAGGGAGTTGGGACTGTTTACTGTGAGGAAGAGGAGGCTGAGGGGAGACCTCATCACTCTCTACAACTACTTGAAAGGACACTGTAGAGAGGTTGGTGCTGGTCTCTTCTCACAGGTAATTAGTGACAGAACGAGAGGGAATGGCTTCAAGCTCCAACAGGGGAGGTTTAGATTGAACATTAGGAAGGAATTTTTCACCGAAAGAGTGGTCGGGCATTGGAACAGGCTGCCCAGGGAGGGGGTGGAGTCCCCATCCCTGGCTGTGTTTAAGGGCCGTTTAGATGCAGTGCTGAGGGACATGGTGTAGGGGAGGACTTTGTAGAGTAGGGGAGATGGTTGGACTCGATGATCCCAAGGGTCTCTTCCAACCTCAATGATTCTATGATTCTATGAAAATAAGTGGTGGGAGAAGGAAAAAGCAGTCGTTAGCTTTACTTGCACGTTGAAAACCCTTCCAGTGAGCCCGAGGTGCAACCTGCACCTGGAAAGCGGGGCAGGGCAGAGTTCGGGCTGGCACCAAACCATTGGTCTATTTCCAGTGAAGCCAGCTCAGACCAGCTCGTGTCTTATTTCAGGCTCCTAAAGGCTGGTAGGAAAATAGGCTGTTGGAAGGGGAAGATTCATGAAAATTGATCGTTTTGTATAATTTATGCTCCTTGCAACAGGGTGATGAGGTTAGTTAGGAGTGGACTAACACTCATAGGCCGGATGTGGCTTAAGAACTCAGAGATACTCATTTGGACAGGCAGAAACAAGGCTTTGCCAACTTCAAGCTAAAGCTTTTAGAACTGTGGGGGAGCAGGTAATAAATGGGAGAGCGTCTGTACTTGCCACAGAATCAGCTGTTTCTGAGGCTCACTGAAGCTTTTTGAAGTAACACCACATGCTACACAGGATGATTTGCACGCGGAGGGTTAGGAACACCGTCTCCCATTCAAACGCTGCAGAAAAAACCCACAAAGCAATTGTGTAAACTTGCCATTTCTGCTCCTTGGGGAGCACGTTTAGCATAACGAGAGGGGAGAAGGCAAGACTCTGAAGAGCACTTTTGAGGGACTTGCCAGACAGCTCTTCTCCGCGCATCACCGCGCGTGGCTACTTGAAGCACCTTCAATTACTCGCTGTGTTTACGCTACACATTTAAGGCTTTTTTTAATTTTCACTTGCCTCTAACAGAATCAGTGTAGCTTGAAGTTAGTCATGCGCATTTAGGGCTTTTTTTAATTTTCACTTGCCTCTAAACAGAATCAGTGTAGCTTGAAGTTAGTCATGGCTTTTCTAATGTACAAAAATAAGGAATACTTGGAAACGGCATATCTTCAGCTAAGGTTAATAATTAATGCAGTTGCGTATTTGGCAGTAACTAACAATTTTAAAATGTAATGGAAATGATCTTTAAGGCTCCAGCTTCACTTGGCATCAATTTCATGAATCCCATCCTTCAAAAGTATATTCCAACTTAATGTCTTTGCTAATTTTAGATTTCTCTTCCTGACAAACAACATCTAAAATGGCTTTGTTGCTGGAAAACTGCCTCTAAAAGCCTTGTTTTATGGGTTGTGATAATTGCACAACAAAGCACAACACTGCTCTGGTTCTCTAAGCAATTTATCTGGTACCTCTTTGGCCCTGGATACAGTAAGTGGAAATATTACAGGTAGCAAACTAGAACTAAGGAACTAGTTAAATGCTGCCCTTAGAAGCTGTGCTGCTGAAGAGCTGCAGGTGCCCAGGCAGTCCTGGGAACATGAGAAATCTTACTGATACAGGGAACTTCTGTTGGTGTTTCAGCTTAATGTTTAACTGCCTGTGCTGTGAGGACACTTCACACCTTCTGCCCCTGCACAGATAAACACACCCCTTGGAAATCCAACACTACATTAAATCATTAATTTACACCGCAGTCGGTGGCAATGTGAGCCCAGCCAAGTGGAAGCCGGATTTAAGTAACAAAACTGATCTCCCTCCAGAGATGATAAATTCTACGAAAAGCATCAGGTTCGTTAAGCCCGTGCACCCCTTGGGTGCACATCTGCAGCGAGGACCCTCCTGTCCCCTGATGAGCTCACCACAGAACGCGGGTGAAAAGCATTAGGTTCGTTAACCCTGCACACCCTTTGGGTGCACATCTGCAGCGAGGACCCTCCTGGATCAGCTCACCACAGAACGCGGGCGGTTGCAGGGGCCCAGCTGAGGGGGTGGTTCAGGGCAGAAGCTGAAGGTAGCTGTTGTGCACACCAACCAACACCCATCTTCCTGCAGGTGCGAGGGTAACTTTGGGCACGTATCAGAAAGGGAGGAGGCGGTGAAGTGTGGCTTTTTGTCAGCAACATTCGCATAAAGAACCAGGTACCTAATTTTTAGAGGAGTTTAGCAATTCAGCTGCGATCCGCTATTTCGTTTTGATGACCGGACAGAAGAAAGAACTTCAAGGAATCACTACTAAAAACTTCAAAAATGGTACTGTACCTCTGTACAGATAGAATTCAATTCTCTAACTCAGCACTAGGGCAGTCAAATAATAAATTTCTAAGGTGCCTTTCGTAAGAGACCTCTGAGAATTCTGTCCCTACATTTTCGTGCAGTACTATTTAAAAAGCGACTGGAAGGTAGCACCTGCTCAATAGCTTCAAATTTAAACAAGCAGCAGCACACTGGCATAAACTGTCATTCTGCCATAGAGCCAAAATTAAAATCTGTGCCTTTCTGAACAGCACAAGGGCCTCTGCCTGTCACTAGCAGACTGGGTCTCGGTGTTGATCAGAGGTGGGAGGGAGGACACTCGATAACTTCCAGTTACTCGTAGACAGGAGGACAGTGACAGATCTGCAGACGACAGGCAACGGGGAGCAATCCCATTTCTTTGTGCATGAGGATGACCCTTCATCACCCGTGGAGCAGATTTTCTCTGTTCAGAGACAGCTCACGACTGTGCTGGTTAGTAACACCTTGGTTACGAGGGCGTTATTGATCAGTCAAACGATGGTGCCTCCACCTGCAACCCACCGCGAATGGTCTAACACCTCCACGGCCCACCCTGTGCCCCGATACCCACCTCTCCTGGCCAGGCCTCACCTGCGGGCAGCCTCCTCGATGCTCTCCCCCGGCTGCACCTTCCCCCCGAAGCCGTTCCACAGCCCGGCTCCAAACCCGCGCTTCTTCATGCCCAGGAGGACGCGGGTTGGCTGCACCACCAGGACCAGGGTGAAGAGCCTGGACGTGGACATGGCTCCTGGGCAGGGGGCGAGGAGGACACGCTGGCCAAGGGCTGCCCCTTCAGCCTGGGGGGGTGTCAGACAGCCCCGCACCCGCAAACACCCAGCACCCCCTCCCCAAATGCCTGCTCCCCCCATCCCTGTCCCAAACCCTTGGTCCCCCATTGCCCCTCCTGATGCCCACTTCTCTAACATGTTCCACTGAACCTTGCTCCCCCACAACTCCCTCCCCCAATCCCTAACAGATCCTGCAGAACACTGTTCCCAAATACTGACCCCCCCAGAACTCCTCCCCCAAATAT